GGGTGGGTCAACTTACCCACTGGCTCATCTTACCCCACTCTCCCCTATATTTTATCCATATCTTGAACGTTCGCTTTTTATCTTCCACCAGGTTGTTTCATTTAATAGTCTGTTTTCTTACAGTTTATGTGGGTATATTCAGTAGAGAACTGGTTTTAGGGAGAAAAAACAACAGTTTTAAAACGGCTTTAATCTGCTGTTATACAGGAATGCTGCTGTTCCATCCAACCAGTTGTCAGTTTACTGAACTAACTATTTATTTAACCTTAATTAGTCCTTATTTGAAATTAAACCATTCAAAACTATCTATTAAATTTAGATTTCTTTGTATCTCATCCATATCATCCTCCCCGGACTCTACTTTAGGAATGTGTTTTCCCAGGTGTTTATGATCTATGACCAGAACACTATGTGCTTAATTTTGAGCTTCAGACATTACATTAGTGTTAGCCCGATTCTTTAGTTGGAAGCCTGAGAATAAACAACAGCAGATCAAGAGTACAAATATGACGTTTATTGGTCACAAGCAAAGTAAATCAGTTGGGCTCTCACAGACAAAAGTTCCCGGAGGATCTCAGTTAGCAAAGAGCCTCAATTTCCGGGTCTGATGGACAGTTTTCCTCTGGGCCTCCAACAGGAGGACGGCTGGACGTAACCGAGTGTTATTGCCCAGTTAGCTCTGACATGAACTGGCCAGGTCCTAATTCATGCAGGTTTTGGTGGAATGTGATAAGAAAGTGTGAATATTGACCTTAAAGACGTGTATCTACTGTAACAGAGAGAGGAGGAGGAGGCACAGCCAGAGATTTTAACCCAAAAGTATCATTCTAAAGGGAATTATATATAAATCTAAAAAGGAATAAGACAATCAGTCATTTACATGGATTCAGTTATAACATACTGTGAGTAATTATAGCCCGATTCTAACATTAGTTTGTCTCAGATCCGTGTTGTTTGTTCACATTCGGGATAAAAAAGGCAGGATTAAAGCGTTCCAACATGTTTCGGCCCAGTCTAGACTTCATTTCCCGCTTCTGTTCACAGCCCGGTGGTGTCCAGTGCTCTGTCCTCGGTGGCCGGTAAATGGGAACTCCCCGTCTTCACGCTTCCCTTCAACATCCTGATATGTCTGCATGTGGCCGCCACAGGCGCCGGTCACCCGTATTTCCCACAGGTAAAGCCAGAGCCTACACCTCCTCCCCCCCCAGGAAACACTTCTAAAGGCTAAACCTCCAACTTCCAGGTGGACATCCGGCCCAAAGTCCACCTGAATGACTCCGAGGGAGCGTTTGACGTCCTTCAGGTGAGCGTTTTTGGACGTTTTTCTGAATAAGCCGAATAGCCTGAGCCAGTGCTAGTTAATTATTCATGTAGGAATTGGACTCAAGGCCAAACTCAGATGCAGAGATCTTTATGCAAAAAACTTTAATTTGAATAAAGGCGCACTCGCTGGGAGTGGAAAGGCAAAGTACAAAGTAATAACCACTCTTCAAAACAAGGAAAAGACAAAGCTATGAACAAAGCTATAGAATAATAATCACTCTGGAAAGAAGAAACCAAAGGCTATAAAGTTCCAATAAAGAGGCTAAAAAACGAAGAAGCCAAACGCTATAACTGTACAAACATAAACTCAAGGAAGGGTTCAAGACAAGATTTGGATCGAGGACAAAGTTCACGCTCAGTTTGGATCAAAAGATGAAACCCACTGGCCCCAGACAAGGAAAAGACTCTATTTAAAGACTATTTAACACCAGGGAACCCCAGGGGAACACAATCAGCGATCAGGGAAGACGTCTGGCTGCAGACTGCAGGAAGCCAAGGATGGATATCCAACTCCGCCCACATCCAAGTCGGCCTTTTTTATTAGCCAATAGGAAGATCCCGGGCAAGAAAATCCTAATTGCTTCATGGAAATATAGACATTCATTTAAAAATAGTGAAATGAATCTTGCAAACACTGAATTAAACATTTATGAAGGGTGGAGGGTCAGGGTCAGGGTTAGGGTTAGGGTCAGGGTTAGGTTTAGCTTTAGGGTCAGGGTTAAAGTCAGGGTTAGGGTCAGGGTCAGGGTTAGGGTTAGGTTTAGGGATATGTTTAGGGTCAGAGTTAGGGTTTGGGTTAGGGTTAGGATTACGGTTACGGTTAGGACATCATTTATCTTCCGATTTTTATAGACAGTAAACTTCTGTTTCCAGCTCAGAAAGCTGCTAGTCACATGACCTAATCAAAATGGCCGACTTGGATGTGGGAGGAGTCGGACATCCAACCGAGGCTCCTACAGTCTGCAGTCAGATGACACACAGGGGGAGTGAAAGTGGCCTGAAACAAGGGGATGTACTTTTCAAAATAAAACAGGAAATGACTAAACAACCATGGAGACGGGTCAAAACACCAAACATTCCCCATCCCGGCTCTGTTCTCAGCTCTTCCTGTCGGTGCCGGTGGGCGTGGGCCAGGTGTTCGGCTGCGATTCCCCCTGGACGGCGGGCCTCGTCCTGATGGGCCTGCTGCTCTGCTCGCCGGCCATCTTTTTCCACGCCGTTCTGGGCTCCGCCGCCGGCGTGTGTGTCGGTAAAATCGCCTTTTGCTCAGCGTTCTGCAGCTTGCTCCGCTCCGCTTTGCTCGGTTTGGGTTATTATTAACATTATTAACCCTTAACCCTTTAAAGCCTGATCCAAAAATAAAACAAAACAGAAATTTACTTTTTTTTTGGTTTAAAGTCTTTATTTGGTCTTTTAACCAAATAAGTAAAAAGAAAAAACAGAAATACGTTTTTAATATTAATAATTTATTACTATGCGATAAGTCAAGATTATTTTTTGTGTAGTCTTCTGCCCCCTGTTATCAGGTGTATCTGATTGTGTACAATAGGATTTTGAGCAAAGTTTTTACCATTAAATTAAGCAAAAGGTGTCAGACACAAAACATTTCAGAAACCGTATGAATCAGATATGATACATTTGGCATTAAGGGGTTAAAAACACAATGCAGGAGAACACAGACTCAGAGAAGTTACTCTTTAGACTTTACAATCTCCACCATACTCTGACCAGATTCCGCTGCCTCCTCTCCTTTTATCCATTTACGTTACATGGACGGTCAGCCTCTAAGGGATGAGATCACACAGGCTGCACGTGGGTGTAGCTTAATATTACATTATATCCAACATTATATCCAAGCTCCTTATCTTGGTAAAGTCAGGCTCCTCAATGGGTGAGAACCCATTGTCACTTGACATCCTGGCTCTCACTGAGACCGTTCACAGCCCTGATTGCTCTGATTGTTTTGCAATTGGCCCACCGAGACTTCTAGACCAGTGTTTTTCAACCTTTTTTGAGCCAAGGTACAGTTTTTCATTGAGAAAATTTCAAGGCACACCAACAACCAAAAATGTTAAACAAATCTGAAGCCGCCTATAGAAACACTATAGTTATTCTTATTTTATTCTTATCTTATCTTAAGTGTCTTGAATAGGAATCAAATAAACACAAAAATGTATTTTTATCTTGTTTTATATTTCTTCTTTCAAATTGCACTTAACATGTCCACTTCAATATGCAAAATTATATACAAAATCTAGTCATAAGGAATTATTACATGATTACGCCACCAGTCACTAGAACAGCACAGACACTCAAAAATGGAATATTATTTGCAGAAAATTAATTCCATATCAAAAATTTTTTTTAGACCAATTAGGTGAAATAGGATGATTTTCTACGGCACACCTGACCATCACTCGCGGCACACTAGCGTACCGAGGACCAGTGGTTGAAAAACACTGTTCTAGACAACTGGTTTCACCCACGGATGGGTTCCGGTCACTTACACAACAGCAGAGAAGATTTTAGAGAAAGAAGCTAGAAAAACTTACACTTGCGGACACACACGCTTGCTCTGTCGGTTCCCTTCCCTAGTGTTTGTGTGCCGCAGTGGGTTTTTAAAGAACCGAGGATCTTGGCCTTCTCACACTTCTGCTCTCAGGTGCTGTTTTGCTGTAGACGCTGCACCTGGTTATTCAAATCTGCTTACACAAGCACTTTGGTTATTCGTTCCCACACAATGAAAGTTCATAACCCAATAATGCCAAATGTATCATATTTGATACACACGGTTTCTGAAATGTTGTTCGTCTGACACCTTTTGCATAATTTAATGGTAAAAACTTTGCGCAAAATCCTATTGTACACAATCAGATACACCTGATAACAGGGGGCAGAAGACTACACAAAAAATAATCTTGACTTATCACATAGTAATAAATTATTAATATCAAAAATGTATTTTTGTTTTTCTTTTTACATATTTTGTTAAAAGGCCAAATAAGGAATTCAAACCAAAAAAAAGAAGTAATTTTCTGTTTTGTTTTATTCTTGGATCGGGCTTTAAAGGGGTAATGTTCTGATTGAGAGTCCATAATGTTCTGATAACAAGAGGTTTAAATTGATAGATACGAAAAGAACATGGAGTACAGGCATCCTATATGATAACCCAGTGTTTTTCAACCTTTTTTGACCCAAGGTACATTTTTTCATTGAAAAAATCTCGAGGCACACCACCAACCAAAAATGTTAAACAAATCTGTAGCCGCCTATAGTAACACTATAGTTATTCTTATCTTAAGTGTCTTGAATAGGAATCAAATAAACACAAAAATGTATTTTTATCATATTTTATATTTCTTCTTTCAAAGTGCACTTAACATGTCCACTTCAATATACAAAATTATATACAAAATCTAGTCATAAGGAATTATTACATGATTACGCCACTAGTCACTTGTACAGCACAGACACTCAAAAATGACATTATTTGCAGATAATTAATTCCTTATCAAAAAATCTTTTTAGACCAATTAGGTGAAATAGGATGATTTTCTACGGCACACCTGACCATCACACTAGTGTACCGAGGCACAGTGGTTGAAAAACACTGAGTTAGAGGACTTTTGGGTCCTTTTGTGGCTCGTTGGTGTCTATGGATAACCTAAGTACAGTGGTCCCAACACTGTGCCCTGTGGAACGCCCCCCAGGCCTGGCCCTGGCGGCCCCCCAGAGGGAGCTCTACTCCGGGCTGTGGGGGTTCAACAGCGCCCTGTCCTGCATCGCCATCGGAGGGGTGTTCTACGGCCTAACCTGGCAGGCCCACGTGCTCGCTCTGGCCTGTGGTGAGTCTTCAGTAGGATAGTCCAACTCCTCCCACAACCAAGTCGGCCATTTTGATTAGGTCGTGTGACTAGCAGCTTTCTGAGGTGGAAAGGAAACTTTACTGTCTATACGATATCTGAAGACAAACGATCAATCAATCAATCAATCAATGTACTAACCCTGGACCCTAACACTAACCCTAAGTCTGACCCTGACCCTAAACCTAACCCTAAACCTAATCCTGACCCTAACTCTAACCCTGACCCTAAACCTAACCCTAACCCTGACCCTAAACCTAACCCTAAACCTAACCCTGACCATAACCCTAAACCTGACCCTGACCCTAACCCTAACCCTCCACCCTTCATAATTGTGAAAAATAAAAAATTTTTGGTTAAACTTGTTTGGACTTATTGTACAAACCTATTTAACATCCACTATTTTAACATAATATTATGTATAGAGTTTAATTCAGTGTTTGCAAGATTCATTGAACTATTTTTAGATTAATGTCTGTATTACCATGAAGCAATTAGAATTTTTTTTGCCTGGGATCTTCCTATTGGTGACCTAATGGCCGACTTGGATGCGGGCGGAGTTGGATATCCATCCTTGGCGTAAACGTCTCCTCTCCTGCTCCTTTTCAGCCCTTTTCTGCGCGTACCTGACCTCAGCAACATCCAAACTGATGTCTGTGGTGAGTCTGGAACCTTCTGGGGTCATTAACCCTGTAATGCCAAATGTCTCATATTTGATACATAAGGTTTCTGAAATGTTTAAAATTAGTAATATTAAAAATGTATTTCTGTTTTTTCTTTTTATATATTTTGTTAAAAGGCCAAATAAGGACTTAAAACCAAAAAAAAAGTAACTCTCTGTTTTGTTTAACTCTTTGATCGGGCTTTAAAGGGTTAAAGGTCTCTCTGCCCCCCCCCCCCCCCCCCCCGGATTACCATCCTGCACCTGGCCTTTCTGCCTGTCCACCCTCGTCTTCCTGCTCCTCTCCCCGGAGAACCCCGCCCTCCTCAGGGTTCCCCTGAGCGCCGTTTCTAACCCGGAGGAGAACCGTCGCTACCTGAAACGGGCCTCGGCCCCCGGAAAAGTTCCACCGGGGGCCGAGGGGCCAAACGTCCGGCAGGAGGAGGGGAACCAGGCACCCGTCTGAGGAATCTACGGCCCTGGTGGTTCTGTGAGACTCTTATGGTGAATACAGGACTGTCTCAGATAATTAGAATATTGTGATCAAGTTCTTTATTTTCTGTAATGCAATTAAAAATCATGTAATGTCATACATTCTGGATTCATCACAAATCAACTGAAATATCGCTATCGCTATTACAGCTTAAGAAACCCAAATATCCTATCTCAAAATATTAGAATATCGGATTTTTGAGTTTTCTTCAGCTGTAAGCCATAATCAGCTATATTAAAACAATAAAAGGCTTGCGATATTTCAGTTGATTTGAATCCAGAATGTATGACATTTCATGATTTTTAATTGCATTACAGAAAATAAAGAACTTTATCACCACATTCAAATTTTCTGAGACAGTCCTGTATATCGTGGCCAAACATGAAAAAAAAAAAAGGTTTTCTGTTGCATTATCAGGTTAGGACCATAAAAAAGGAGCTTTCTACCCAGCAGGAGTTGAGATGTTTTTTTATTTTGCAGTATTTCTTTTTCTCTGCAGAGGGCAGCACGCTTCCAGGAAAACCACAGAGCTTCTAAATCAGGGGTGTCAGAATCCAGTCCTCTTTGGGCCGCTGTCCTGCAGGTTTTAGACATTTTCCTGCTTCTGCACACTTGATTATTATTATAATTAGATCTCCTCTGGACATTGTTGGGCTTTGCACCTGTCTAATGGCCCTTTGATGTGAATCAGGTGTGTTGAAAAAGGGTTACCTCTAAAACCTGCAGCTCAGGGAGATGCAGAGTAGATTTACATGTATATATATATATTTATATGTATATTATTATGTATCCAGGCTGTAATCATTGCATGTTTTATTAACCCTATAATGCCAAATGTATCATATTTGATAGATACGGTTTCTGAAGTATTTTGGATCTAAGACTTTTTGCATCATTCAGTGGTAAAAGCTTTGCTCAAACCCCTGTTGTACACTTTCAGATATACCTGATAATAGCCAGTAGAAGACTACACCAAAATACATTTTTGACTTATTGCACGCTAATTTGATCAAAATAATTTCTGTTTTTTTTCTTCATGTGT